ACGTTGAGAAAAGATGGAATGCGCTTAAGATGGTCGACGATGTCATATTTGCCATCTTAGGACTATAGTACATCCTTTGCATGTCTCTTAGAGGTACTTGTTTTTGTAGTTGAGACTGAAATTTCTACTGCAGGCTCTGTAGTGGTAGTGACTGGAACTTGTCTTACACTTGGTTTGTCGGAATGATTAACTGATTCAACTACTTCTTTTCCCCCTTTCTTGTCTGCAGATGTGATCCTTTGGCTAGAGCATAAAGTTATTTCATCGACCTCACCATCGTTGTAGATTTCACATGAAGTCGTGCGACAATTTCCAATTTCTTCCTCGCTTCCCTTACTCTTGAAAAGTTTTGAAGGGAGGTAGTCTCCGAGGGTTATTGGTGCTCTAAAAGGCTGCTTGTACTCATCTTCTTGAAAGACTTTAGGCCTTCTCTGAGTATTCTTCTTCTTTTTCTTTCCATCTTTTGAGGGTGGTTCACTCCATAATTTTCCTTTTGATCGCTTTTTGGAAGAAAGATGTTTAGCAATCTTTTTTTCACTGATGGTTTGCCACTCATCTTCGAACTCAAGTGATGACTCCGACGAATCTTCCCAAACATCAAAACTTAGTGCTATCATGAGTTCGTACAGAGTTGGAATTTTTGGATTTTCAGAACGAGGCATGACAGGATAAGCATGGACAACTGTGGTTTCATTATCGACATGGAATCCTACAGGGATTGCCCCTTCTGGTAATGGAGCGGAGGGTGTTGATTTTCCTTCGATCATATTGGACGTTGTCGTCTGATGTTTCGAGGATGAATCCACCTCGATCTCATTCTTGTTTGACATCTTTAAAATACCACATCTCTCCAACAGAAAATCATGTGGTTTCTTCTCAAAGAAAGTCTGACTACAAAAGTCTCAAAAGGAATTTATAAAAGCAATGGTGCTTTGTCACTTGCTTTTATATTTTCGTTAAATAATAAGAAAGCAAGAACTTGTTATGCTGTTGTGGAGAAATGAAAGGCAACAACAAGAAGAAAAAGAAAGAAAGTAGGCATGGAGACACCGGGGTTGACATCAAATATCGTGGACACAAGCCATCTCAAAGCATAAAGCTTGATTAATTTACCACCTCAAATTATTGGATTCAAGCACCATCAAATTTCAAATGGCACGAAGCCGCATCAAATCTCAATGGCACAAAGCCACTATAAATGGCACAAAGCTGAAGAAAGTTTCAAATACTAAATGGCATGAAACAGTATTTAAACGCTCCAATGGTTTAAAGTCATCGCCCGCATGAGCTAAAACTGCATGCTCCAATGGTTTAAAGTCCTCGCCCGCATGAGCTAAAACTGCACAAGGCATTAAACGCACCAACGGCTTAAAGTCCTCGCCCACATGAGCTAAAAATGCACAAGGCATTAAACGCTCCAACCGCTTAAAGTCCTCGTCTGCATGAGCTAAAACTGCACAAGGCATCAATTGCTCCTTGCCTGCATGAGCTGAAACTGCACAAGGCATCAAACCCCAACAAAAGACATAAGGAACTACGAGTGACTTGATCCCTCAACGAGGGTACGTAGGCAATCTAGGGCTCTACCTAGGTGCAGTCACAAAATCAAATAAACATCCAAATCCCCAAGTTACGATTATTCATATTAGAATCAAACGGTATTCCTTTCCCAAAAGAAGGGTTGTAATTAATAGGCGCGTAGACTAGAATGGATCGAACTCAAATTAATAAAACCCTCTTCAGAAAAACATGTACGAGGGTGAAATTGTGTCGAGTGAATTATTTGTTTACATATTGTGTACAATTTTTTCTCAACAAGCCTCAGGGAAGTTAGCTTGGACTAATTAAATGCTTTGTTTAAATCCATAACTCAACTTTCTGATAATTGAGGTTTTTGTTAAGCATGGTATATTTGTCTCACCACAAGTATTGTCTTTGTTTCTCACGATCTTCCCCTGCCTTCTTACCTAGGAACTCAATAAATAAATTTGTGAATTATGAAATATTGTAACCTTTTGTAGGTTTATTTCACAATTTATGACCAGCTCAAGAACTTCCTTTGCTCTGATGGTTAGTTCATGACCATATACTTTTTAAATGGATTGTTTAGATTTTAACCATATTTCTCTTTTTGGTAAATTCGCCATCCTTCTATATCTTATTTTTTTAGTGTGTGTGGGCTTGTGTGTTTGGCATTGTTGCATATATAGATGAGAATCACCATCTTTCAATCGGGGCTAACATGCTAGCTGCTTCCTCCTGACTCTTTTAACATTCTGATAATTGAATATTTTCTATGAATTTATCCCAACTCTGTAGGCTGACATGACATGATTATTTTGTTGTTCCTTCTTTAAAAATGACTTTCTGTCAGTTGATTCATGATTAATGCTCTCTCTATTCCCTGTTCGAACCACACAATTTTGGCCTCCTTTATCGTTGCCAGGGTCCCTGGAATTGAATTGTATCAATTCAAAATACAGGCCTACTGTGAAAAGGAAGAGGGAAAAACATAAAAGCCAGATTTCAGTGATATGTATATACCATGCAAAAATTCTTACCATTTTAGCAGAAATTTTCTGAAAGCAGCAGAATAAGCGAATATGCAAACCATTAAAGTAGTATACTGAAAGACCCTGCACCAACAGAAATTGTATTTTATTTCCAGATATCATATTCAGGTGGTACGCTCAAGGCTTCAAGAGCAAGGCCACCACTCTGAGAAGCGCTATGCTGGTGTTGTTGATTGCATTAGAAAAGTATTTCATCAAGAGGGCCTCCCTGGTTTCTACCGTGGCTGTGCCACCAACCTTTTGAGGACGACACCAGCAGCTGTAATTACGTTCACCAGCTTCCAGATGATTCAGCGGCTCTTGTTACTTCATTCCATCAGCGGCTCTTGTTACTTCATTCCACCAACCACCCCCCCCCCCCGGGGGCTGCAACCTCACACCTTATGAGATGGATAGCGGGGTTAAAACAAGTCATGTTTACTTTAAATTAGCATATAGTCAACTCAGTTATCATTTGATGATAGCGAAGGGCTTTCCTCATTGGTTCTGTAAGTTGACTGTTTTGGTGGCTTTTTACCAAAAAGTAAAGATATTGTAGCCTCATGCCGTTCTCGTGGACATTATAGCATGAAGTTGTTTTTTTAAGGGGGGAGTGAGAGGATTATGCCATTTAAACACATGACGATGATGAGAAATTAGTCTACTTGACAGTAGCAGGGTCGCCTTTTATGGGATTAAGTACTCATGACATCAAGTTCCATTGTTTCCTTCTTGTGTTCTTGTTAGTACTCATAATATTGGCTTCTCCTTGGATTTGACGCTCCTTGGATTTGACGCTTCTACGTTTCATTCAAGCCCCCCCAACCCATGTTTAAATTGCACCTCCACCAAGTTCCATTTATTACTCGCACCTCCCATGGGCTAAAATGCCCAAAGTGAAAAATTAAATGGACTCCCTTCTATTTTTAGGGCAATTAGCATGAATAATCTGTTTTTGAGTTTTGGTTGTAGAAATGATCATTTTTAGCAATGTCATATTTATCATGACTCAAAGATGACATAACAACCATGTGTAATGATGATATATTAAAGACATAACACTGATCATTTTGCAACCAAATGTCAAAAACTGATTATTTTTGCTAATTGCTTTTACTTGAATAGCTACAATCGTATTCCACTTTGATCCTTCTTTTCTCTTCTTTTTCATCACTAAGTGTCACTTCATTTTGAGAGGAGATATTGTTATAGGAAAATGGATGAATAACTACAAAAAGGTAATGTTCTTAGACACACAAAACTGATTAAATTGTTAGATTTATTTAATACAGGTGAGTTTCATATAAAATAGTGAAGTCATCCTTATTAATTAGAAGTTTGAGAAGAGGTCATCAATGTGATCAATTTGTGAAAAAAAAAGTGTTATTATATTTAATATTGAGGGCGAAAATCTTTTGAATTCATGACAATACGTTTGAATTATTTAATAATTAGTACATCCCATGTATTCCATCTCCGCAATCAAGGTTAATTTTTATTTTTCTAATGGAGCAGCGTCGAGATGGCCATGCAATTGCTAGCCAGCTTACGCAATGTAACAACATCCTCATCCTTGAAGGGCAACTTGAACCCCGGAGACTCAGCGACGGCATCATCACACGTGCCCAAATAGGTAATCACTCCACTAAGCCTGGTTTGTATTGTGCCGACATCGTGTGCGACAATCGCATCAGTAGCACCGTTGAGGTCATCAACTGCGGATTCGTATTCTTCTTGGCATACTTGGACAGTCGACATATCTGATGCGGAAAGGCCACCCAGCTTCTTGAACTGGGCGAGGGCCTGTTGCATGCGGTTCAAGCATGCTTTAATCTCTATCTGAAGCGCGCTGATAGGGTCGGCAGCACCGTGTTCAAAAGGAAGGATGGTGCTGGAGCAAAGAACAGGGTTATCAGTTTTTGCGCAGATTTTTTCAAGAGCCGCATCCACTTGTGGGATTGGGGCTGATGAGCCTTGACCGGAAGAGAAGAGGAGAGAAGATATGGATATGATTACGAGGAGGATGCGGCTGTTGATGAGCTCCATTGTCTCTTCTCTTCACTTCCCTTTCTCTTTATCAGAGGTAGAAGAGGAAAGACAATAAAATTCAATAGGAACAAGGAGGTTAGGGAGAGAGGGGGAAGGAATGTTGTGTTTTAATTAGATGTTGAGTAAACGAGGTCGTTGTGCAAATTATACCAGAAATAGCATTTACGGCAACTGCTTTTCCTATCATTATGCTCTAATCATGCACCTGCAAAACAATTCTCTAAAAATAAGATTCTTGTTACGGGCGGCAACCTATTAGGTTTAAACCACACATATACGTACCATATGGCGCACCGGTTGAAACATATCATGGCCTTTTAAAAATACGACTTGCCAGAGAGGAAGAAGCGAGGCCTGAAAATATTTACCCTTGAAGTTGCAAAGATATACTGCAGGGTGTGTTCCTTAATTACTTGGAGAAACCCAAAGACTATACGAGCCCGTGACAAGACGTTTTCCGATCCACTTCAGTTTATTAAGCTCGTGTCTTCTCTGACCAAAGTCAGCTGCTTTAGTCTTCAAGAGATCTTCAGGCCAACTTTTAACAACTCTTGATGTAACTGAACTTGTAAGACTTGCAGGACACCAATCCTCATTAAGATTCGAAACGTATCTATGGATAATACCAGATACAGATACTACTTTTGATGAAGAGTGAGTGGGCTCATCTGTCACTGAGTCTTCTTTGGGTCCGACTCCGAGTTCATTCACATATGCAGAGCCCGGAAACGTCATCTTGTCAGTTGGAACTCCATTGACTTGGTATATATTCTTTCTTCTCTTTGTGAAGTAAAAAGGTCTTCTGAGCTTTCCTAGTAGAGGCTTGTGACTTTGAAATTTTTTTTTTTCGCTCTTTATAATGCCTTTTGTATTACGTACTATAGCAGCAGTTCTTGTAAAACTCTTTGAATTAAAATAATCGCCAACTTTTGAGGCCACGTACTTGCGTAAACATGGCCTATTGCAATCATTTAATAAAAGTCTTGCTTCTTCATGAAGAAACCATGTTCTTTCACTCCCTGGAAAGCACTCTTAATACGCATTGAATCAGGCAGGTGATACATGTAAAGATGTATTAGATGCTTCAGATATTGACAAGTGTACGTAGATTAGGTGCTAAATTTGTTATTAGTAGTTAGCTTACTTAGTGACTATGATAGTCTTGTCTATGTATATGTGTAGCTGTGTAACTCAAAAGAATTCATTCAATACATATAAGATATAATTCTTTTCTCTCTCTAAAAACTACTATTCTCTCGAATCTCTCTCTCTCTATCAAGAACACATATGATGAACAAGAATTTCTTTGTATTCTGACATGGTATCCTCGCCGGGGATGAAGATTTCTCGATCTTGAGCTTTTTTTTTTGCTTCCGCATTCCTGATCAATATGTTCTGGTGTGAATTTCTGCTCTTTTTTTTTTTCTCTCCATAGCTCTGTGCGTTTGTGTATCTACAAAGTTGTTCTGTGAAGTATATGCATGATTGTGCACACCAAGTGTTCAATTAATTGCTTCTTACAAGATCTGTTTGCATTGATATCAGTTTCCAAGATCTCTACAAGTTGAATTCTTTGTGATTTTGCACAATTCCTCTTTCTGAAACCCTAATTCTATGATCTTTTTCACAAATTCTCAAATTCTTGCATAGTTATCTCTGCAAATATGGTGATTGCTGCACAATTACAGATTGTAGAGTCTCCGATCACGAATCTCATTACGAATGTCTCTAATTCTGTTACTGTGAAGCTTGATGATACAAATTATCTTGTATGGAACTATCAAATTCGATTACTTCTTGAAAGTCATGGTATCTTTGACTTTGTTGTTGGCACTCATCCATGTCCTACTCGATTTAAAGATGATTCGGATGTTGAAGGTGTTGAAACTGAGGAGTTTCAGATTTGGAAAATGCATGATCGTGCTCTTATGCAGTTGATCATTGCTACACTATCTCCCACAGCCATGTCTTGTATCATTGGTTGTCTCACTTCTCATGATATGTGGACTAATTTGAAGGATAGGTTCTCCACAGTCACGAAAGCCAGTATTTTTCAGTTGAAAACTGAGTTGCAGAATGTAAAGAAAGGTTATGATTCATTCTCTCAATATCTTCAAAGGATCAAGGATGTAAGGGATCATCTCTCTACTACAGGAATGATCTTTGAAGATGATGACATTGTAATTTTGGCACTTAAAGGCTTGCATGCTGAGTATAATACTTTTCGAACAGTTATAAGGGGGAGAGACAATGTCATTTCACTCAAGGATTTTAGGTCCCAGCTATTAGCAAAGAAGCAGTTGTTGAAAATAATTCTGTGAGTGAAACCTTTGTGTCTGCAATGATGGCAAATTAGCAAAAAGACAAAGGAAAGGCTCTGATGTTGGGAGAATGGTCTAATCAATCTCAATCACAAAATTATCCTAGTGGATCAACCAGCACTGGTACTTATAATGGTGGCTCTTCTAATCATAATGGAAGGTACAGTTCCAATTACAGAGGAAGAGGAAGAGGCATAACCAACTATAATTCTAATAACAGACTCAATTCTGGGTTTTCAAATTCCAAAGCAGGAATTCTTGGTCCAGGAAAACCACATGTTTCTACATGTACCGATCATGGTTATGATATTCCAACCTGCCAAATTTGCAACAAACGAGGTCACATTATTATTGACTGCTTCTAGAGACATTCATCCACCACTACTCCATCCTCCAAGCCACAGTGTCAAATCTGTTGGAAATTTGGACATACTGTCTTGCAATGTTATCACATAACTGATTTCTCATACCAAGGAAGGGCTACCTCTTCCAATCTATCTGCTATGCATACAACTTTTCAACCATCAGCACCTCAAGAACAGTTTTGGGTGGCTGATACAGGTGTAACATCTCACATGACTTCTGATTTGGCAAACCTTAATCTTGTAACTCCATTCTCTGGCACAGATACAGTAACCACAGCTAGAGGTTCAGGTTTGCACATTTCTCATATTAGCTCCAGTACATTAAGGACACCTAAATATGCATTTGAATTGAAGAAAATTCTACATGTTCCTCATATATCTCAACATTTATTATCCATTTATAGACTTAGTAAGGATAACAAATGTAGATTTATATGTGATGAGTTCTCTTACTGTATCCAGGACAAGGTCACAGGGAGAATCCTTCTCCAGAGACTGTGTAGAGCTGGCTTATATCCCATTCCCTTCTACATTCCACAACATCTCATCAATCAAGCACAACAACCATCTGCATTCACTTCAACACAATCATGTTTTCTTGGACAACAAGTCAAAATAACGGTGTGGCACCACAGGCTAGGACATCCTTCCAACATTGTGACATCTGCAATGTTAAAACAATCCAATATACCTACGCCTGTTTCTCATGTGTCTTCAGTTTGTAAATCATGTTTAGAGGGCAAATTTACAAAGCTTCCTTTTGTTTTCCCTGCAAATAAAACTGTAAAACCCTTGGAGGTGATACATAGTGATGTTTAGGAACCTTCATCTACTGTTTCAGTTGAAGGTTACAAATACTATGTTACATTTGTAAATGAATATACCAGGTTTACCTAGATCTTTCCATTGATAAATAAAAGTGAAGTGTTCAATATTTTTGTTCACTTTGATCAGTTTTTGAATACTCAATTTTCTACCCATCTCAAAGTCTTTCAAAGTGATGGAGGAGGTGAATACTCAAGTAATCAGTTCAAACATTTCTTGCTTGACAAGGGTATAGTTCATCAAAAATCATGCCCTTACACCCTTGAGCAAAATGGTCTTGCAGAAAGAAAGTATTGACATATTTTAGAAACTGCTATCACCCTTTTACAAAATGCTTCCATGCCCTCTAAGTATTGGTTTCATGCTTGTGCTGCTTATGTGCACCTTATTAATTGAATGCCCTGTCAAACCTTGCAAATGTTTTCACCATATAAATGTCTTTTTGGTTGACCTTCTCAGATTTCTCATCTTAAAATCTTTGGTTGTGCATGCTATCCTCTTTTAAAACCCTATAATACCACTAAGATGCAACCCAAAACAACTCAATGTGTGTTTACAGGATCCACTCCCCTGGGCGATGTGGGATGTTACAAACCTAGTGTTAGATTACATATTGATTATAGTCCCTTGATGTGTCCTTAATTCAAAATAATTAATGTGCATTTTATTTAATGTCTCCCATTAGATATTTAAATTTATTAATATACAAATTTTAATTTATTTTTTGACCAAAAAAAGTTTTTTTTTAACCAAAGAAAAGTTTTTTTTTAATTTATTAATTTTATTTACCATTCTTCAAACTTGAAAGACTCAATTAATGTACCTAAATGTTAGCAGCGACATGTATTATATTGAATTAATGTATTTAAATGTTAGTACCGAAATGTATTTACTGAAATATATGCATTGAAATATATTATATTAAATTAATGTACCTAAATGTGTATACAGAAATGTATGCACCGAAATGTATGTACCAAAATGTATTATATTAAATTAATGTACCTAAATGTTTGTATCGAAATGTATGTACCAAAATGTGTGTATCTAAATTTATGCACCGAAATGTATTATATTGAATTTAATATATCTAAATGAAGAAGACAATGTACGTTGAAATATATTGTATAACAAATATTAGTTTATCTAAATGTTTACAACAAAACATATTACGATAAATGTGACAGCCCGTCCCTAATTTTTAGAATTTTTAAAGTTTTGATAAAGGATTTTACAAAAATGCCCTTTGAAGGTACGTGCATTGTTCGAGGTTAATCACCATGTCGTGCCATCTAAGATTTGTTTCCTTGGCATATCCTGGTAGTACTCGTCGTTACGGACGCATGGGCGCAGACGGTTCGTGATTTGGAGTTATATCGAAGAAGTTATTAAAGTTTGAAGTTGGGATTTTAAGGAATTATAATTTTAGTAAAATATAGAAATTCTTTTATGAAAATGGACGGCCCAGATTTAATGATGAATGAAATGGATGGCTGGGATGAGGGAAAGGTTTTTGGTGTGTGTATGTGTATGAGAAGAAGAATCAGAAAACAGAAAAGAAGAAGAGACTGGGCAGAAATGCCCAATCCGAGAAG